TAAAACCTAAACATGTGTTCTAATATTTTTGATATTTTTTTAAGGTTTTAACATGAAAATTTAAAACAACTTCTAAGGCAACGGGCAACAATAAAATCTTTTTCTTTCACAATTTTTCCACTCAAATATTATGAAATAAAAATGCACGCAAGAATAAAAACAATAAGGAAAAAACACACCAAGATTTTTATAGTGGTTCGGTCAAACTATGACCTACGTCCACTCCCCAGAGTCCTCCGCTCCGGGAATTTCACTACCAACAAATATCTCTCCTTTTGCCCCCTCGGCAATGTGGAGAAACCCTTACAATACTCCCTTTCACCAACCCGGCGTGGCAGAGTGCCAAGCACTGTTTTCACCCTCCTAGTGACGGTAGAGAACCTTCTCATTTTTCTCTCTCCTAGAGAAGACAGAATACCTTCGAGGTCAACGGACGTAGATGAGTCTCCCCCTTAGAAACTCTCCCACAATTGTTTGAAAAGTAGCTGTTACAATTGTACAGTACGATTATTGGTCGTACATTAAGATATGTACAAACTAGCTTCGTCCTGGTATGAAGGTGTACGAATAGCTCAAAAACTAATCATACAGTACGATAATATATTATACAGTGCGATTCACAACACACTAGTCGTACTAGATGATAGTCGGGACGATCAAATGTCATCTCTGTTCATCGTATGGTATGATCTATATCGTATCATACGAATAGTAAAAATCAAGGAATCGTCAAGGGCGAATTCCGGGACGATCAAATATCCTCTCTATTCATCGTATGGTACGATAGGCATCGTACGATGAGACCAAAAACACAGGATCGTCCAGGACGATCTCCGGGATGATCAGAATTCATCTCTATTCATTGTATACGAAGGGGTTCGTACAGTACGAGTTTCAATTTGTAATTAAGCCTTGATTTCTTGCACTAATTACGGGTTAAATTAAGTATGTATTTAAAATAGATCATACCGTACGAACATAGTTGTACAGTACGGACGGCGCAAAATATCATACTTGACTTATCATGACGGCTAGGGTTTTAGATTTGAAATAGATCGTACCATACGAGAGTATTCGTACAGTATGATGTGTTCACAGAATATGTGTTATGATAGTAGATCATATAGTACGAAATAAATTCGTACAGTACGATTACCATAGACTGAAAAACTATATTTCTTACTTTTAAAAACCCTCTCCCCCTGTGTGTGTGCATGATTGCTCAAACATACCTGCAGTTTGTGGCCAGACTCAAGAAAATAAATAACAAAATACATTATCTGACTCAGACTCCTAATCAAACTTGTCTTGAGTCTTCCCGTTGTCCAGAGTGACTTGTGATCTTTCTGAAATATTAGTACTCACAGACAATAGAAAACATTAAATAATATTCAATGAAAATTAGTTTAGGCAACATTATTTGGCATCATAAAAATCTCAACCTCGGGGTTATGGGTCGCAACACCTAGAGGCCAAAACAACCCGAAGCAACCAATAGAGCCAAAAAAAACCCAACCTGCAACCACAAAAACCAAGCAATAGAAACAACAGGCATCAGCTAAACCACCACCAGCCAAACCATTAAAACAAGAGCAACAATGCCACCCCACAGAATTGGAAAAACCAACATAAAACCTTGGTGCAAAATTTGATCATCCAAAGTAAAAAACCTTGGTTGTCTAAATTAAACCATCCAATAAGAAATGCAAGCCCGCACAACACAAGTCCCCCCCCCCCCCCCCCCAAATCAAATTATTTAAGCAAAGATCTTAATGATGTGATAAAGAAAATTTCAGCTAGAAACTTTAGCTAATAAAGCCTTTTTAATAGAACAAACCACAAAATCAGAGCTAGAAAATTGCTTCTAAATTTTCTTGGAATCTCTTTCTTTCCAAATAAAATATATGGAACAAAAAATAAAAAGAAAATATAAGTTTTGTATCTAGTTTAAATATATTTATGATTTTATTTGAAAATATTTTTGATTTATTTGTTGTTGTAGAATTATCATCTTATTTGTGAATGAATTCATATTTTTCTAAAATTTATAAATATCAAATTCTATTGGATTATTCTATGTTATTGAGTTAACAAGTTAAGATTTTCTAGAGAAAACATTTGGAGAATTGTCTTTTTTCACTTGTGGCTATTTTATTAAATACATTTGTGAAACTTACTTATTGTATCTTATTCATATTCTTAGTGATTTAAATCATACACTTCGATATCCTTTTGAATTTTAAAAAGTTAATTTTGTTTGGTTCTTTAAATGGATGCTTGGTATATTGTGTATATTAGTCACATACATCTTAATTTGAAAATTTTTGTGAAACTCTTTTGACTATTTATTTTATAAATTAAATCTTAGATCATTTAAAGATTTGAAATCCTTATTTATATGCTATTTTAACATCAAATCTAAAATATTTATGAAGTTGAAAGCATTGCGTAAAATATTTTTATTGTGACCATTTCGTGATATAGTGATTAATTTTGGAACTTGATTTTGCCTTGTGTTTGAATCGCCTTTTTTCAACTACTTATATTGCTTCATTGCTTAGATTACATTGTCTTAGAAAATTGTTTTAAAAGTTTTTTGCTTGCAATTTTCTTTGCAAATTTATTTAGAAACTTCATTTCATCATATTTGCATCTTCATATAATATGAAGTCTGTGAGCAAACTCATTTATTATTATTTTTTTATTAAAATTTTGTTTTTGTGTGGGGCTTAAGAGCAATTTTTTAAAAACTATTCCTATGTGAGATCTTTTTTATTACACAAGTTTTTACCTTTCTTTTTTGACTTGTATTAGTGTTGTGAGGTTTTCATCGTCGTGTGAGGTAGTTCTTCCTAGTATTAGAAAGATGTGATTGATGTGACATTTCTTGTTGTTAGTTAAATCCAATTTTTGGGTTGAACTAGGTGTGGAGTAGGCCAGTTTTGGGTTTGGGCCAAGCCACATTAAATTTCTCTATGTTCTCTTTATTGTAATTTGTTTTTTTTTTATGTTACACTTATATCACTATTTTTTCTACAAAGAGAAATTATTTTTTTTCTTTAATTAGTGCACAACCCAATTCACCACTCCTCTTTGGTTGTCGTAGTGTTTCTCACATACTCCTTCAAGTCTTAATTCCCCTCCGTTGTTTTATTATCTTCAATATATCCCATTAATTTAAATTCGCTCTAGATGCCTATTTATACTATTCACATAAACCAAAATTAAATTTCATAACAAGAAAAAAATAATAAAAAAAAAAACAAATGCCAATGATGATCATCCAACTCTACATGGTAAACCAAATTCTCTTCCTCATGGCATAATCTAATTTTTAATTTAAATTTATTGCAATGTAATTATACACATATTATGAAAGTTCCTTCTTCCATATTTTACATCTTTGTTTTTTTTTTTATCATTTATTAATTTATCTTCCACAGCCAATCTTTCATTACTACTATTGCTACCATAACTCTATAATGATTTTATAATGACAAATTGCAAGGCCTTTGTCTTATGCATGTCCTACCTACTAACAATTGAGCAATACCTTTTTCTTAAAAATAAATCAATTAAGTAATAAACAATTTTTTATTAAATAAAAAAAAAGGTCTCACCAATATCTCTCCTATAAGCCTCACATGCGTGGCCCAATGCTGTTCTCCCATGTGCCCATTTGATTGAAAATACTGGAGTTTTTCATCTAAAATAATTCCCCTCTCTTGGACTGTTCTGTGAGCTCCACGTGCCGCTTCTTAGTTTTATACAATAGGTTTAAAAAAAACGCGGTAGATTTGAAGGAGACCATTTAAGTTGAATTTATTTGATCGTTTGATAATAATTTTATTGATGGCGACACAAACTGAAAAAATAATAGTGAGATATCCTAATTCAATTTTCAAATAAAATCTTAATATATTACTATTGTATTATATATTTCATAATAAAATCTATTTTTTTATCAATAATTTAAATCACATAATTTCATAACATTTCATATAAATACACCATAAATAGAATATCTTAACTCAAATTGTTCATCATTTTTTTATTTTAAATTATATAAAAATTACATCAAATTATTTATTTGAATAATTATCAAGATGATAACATTAAATACTTAAAATTAAAAAATAAACTATTAATTAATTTTATCTTCATAAAAATTTAAAATATTATGTCGCTTAGTTAATCTTTTAGTCGAGATTTTTAGCTAGAACTAAAAAATTTTGGGTTCAAAGTTTAAGCATGTGATGTATATTAATTTGATTTAATTGATTCAAAAATATGAAGAAAAAAAATTTCCTAATTTTAAATAAGAATAGAAATTACATTTTTAAATATATATCCTAAGTTAATTTTTATTCCTTGAAGTCAAAAGAACCGTTGGGAGCTGACATGGACATAAAAAGTACCAAGACTCCGATACAGCTTCAACCTGGTGGGGCCGGTCAAATCCCAAACCGACCATTTACTCATAGTATTCTGAAAAATTAAACAAATCGTAATTAAATTATAATAGAATTAAAAGTTATACGTGTACGTTGCAGATGCTCACACGTCATACTATTTAGGCACGCCAAACATCTTCTTTTTTTTTTTGGGACATTTAGGCCATTTAAGGCAAACTCACACACACAACGCATACACAGAGACTCGAACCTTAGACCTCTTAGTTGGAAGCCTTAGCTCTCAACCAATAGGCCAAGGAGAGTTGTGTCCAAACATCTTCTTTCTCTCCTGAAATAGATCCATGGACACGTGTCCGTCTACCAACAAACACTGGACGCGCGTCCACTAAATTTTTCCAAAACAAAGATATTTTCATCTCACCGACACGTGTTCTATCTGCTCCCTCGATTGTGAAACGTGTTTAGACGGCAGCCGCCGGAGTAACTTGATGATTAGCCACGTGTCCCACTCACGTGGGGCCCACCTGCCGACCTCAACTATTTGTATCTCTCTGCTCCCGCCCTCCCGACAGTGATCTCTTTTCGGCGAATGGAATCAGGCGGTTCGAGTAGCACCGGCGGCAACGGGCGTGGCCGAGGAGGACTAGAGGAGGAAGTGAACAAAGGAATCATGGACGAGCGGGTTCTCATTCTGGTTTTCCGGAGGCTGAATTGGGACCCACAAATGGTCTGCGTGGTGGCAAGAGTCAGCCGGCGACTGCGCGCGGTGGTCAACCGTATCCTCTGGCGAGAAGTCTGCATTTCCCGAGCGCCGCGAATGTTGGCGGCGTTAACTACAGGAGCGCCGGCTGGTCAGGCTAGAGTCAACGGCGGCTGGAACTCTCTCGCGAAGCTTCTATTCTACTGCTCCGGCGGCGTAGACAGCCGCCATTTCCCTCTTACCCACCCCCTACAAGGCCACTTCGCTGGTGTCTCCCGGTTTTCGAAAACTTCGGGTAGTAGTTTCCTCTCTCGCCGGTGCTCTAGCGATCTTTTATACGTCAGCGATCCGTGTGAACACACTATTGAAGGGGCGGCGGCGGGTGAGGATTTGGGTGCGTATCGCGGAGTATTCCGTGGGTTCATTAGATCGAAAACCCGTGCTTATCTCATCGGACGACACGTAGAGCTCGAGCAGAGAGTACGTTGTCCTTATTGTGGGGCGCGTGTGTGGAGTATGACGGCGGCGAGACTCGTGCCGCGTACGGCGGCGCGGCGACTGGGAGCTCACCTTGGCCGTCTAGAGTACTTCGTCTGTGTTAACGGGCATCTTCATGGGAACTGCTGGTTGGCTCATCTTTCGGATGGTGATGATGATGCTTATGGTGATGATGGTTATGTCGAAGGTGATGATGATGATGACTGATTCATTTCCCCTGTTCTTTGGTGCTCTGTTTTTTTTTTTTATTTTGTTTAGGGGAGAGATTTTCTCTGTTTTGAATTGGAGTGGCGGTGGCGGTGGTTTAGTTCTCTTTTTTTGTCTATTTTGTGATTCTCATTTGTAGGGATTCTTAAATGACATTTTTGTTTTTGAATTATATTTGGTTTTATTGGATTATTTATTTTTCGTTTTGGTGAGTGAACACATAGAAAAGGCCTTCAGCTTTGGAAAAAACACTCAAAGTCTACTCTCATCTGGACTTTCTCAAGTTTGGAATGACCATTTGATACTCAAATGTTTAGGATCAAGGAAGAAGATACTCGGAGCGTTCTGATTGGTTTAGGCACATTAAGAGCCATTCCAACAACTCTTTAAAAATTATTCGATCAAAAATATACTCAAATTACTCAAATTACTCTTTGAAATGATAACTTTTGTCTCCTTCTTAATTTTTAATATTATTAACCTACCAACCTTTTATCATCAAACTTTAAAGCTTGCATACTAATAAATTTAGAGAGAAAATTTATTTTATTAAAAAAAAAAAAAACGTAAATGTATATTTTAATAACAATTAATGCACATATGGTCTAAGTGTTACAACTGGAATAGATTATTTGGAGAATGAGCTTATGCTTGCAAAATAAGAAGACTTCAGTTAATGATCAAAACTATAACGGTATTATAGTTTAGTGAGTGTGTTCTAATTAAATTTATATATTGTTTGAATTAGATTTATATATGAAAGCCGTCTAACTCCATTTTCTATAAATTTATTTTTGAGGTATTAAGGTTTAATGAGAAAGATCCAAAGATATTAAACATGCTTATATTCAAGATCCAAAGCTTATTTGGAAACTTTTTTAATGCCATCCAAGGATTAATTATTTATATATTTATAGTCAAAATGAATGTCTTCAGGTGATATATGATATGTTTAAGTTCATTTATTTTGAGTTTGTTATGGCATTACAATATCAAAAAAACATAGCTGCTATGATCAAAGATGATTTAGAACATCTAATGAAGTGTCAAGATTGTGGTTTAAAATGATCAAAATATCCCAAACAAAAATTATTATGTAATCCATAATTCTTCGTAATTTAAAAGTTCAAGTGAGGTGCTTAAACCTTGTTGAACTGTCCTAAGCTGACCAAGAGAGGGGGGGCAGGTTTTAATTGGTTATTTAAAAATTTCCTCAATGAAAGTCTTTTAATTATTTAAACATATCACAAACGCGAGCGAAAGAATTTAATAACAATAATGTAATTTTGCTTCTTTGATTTTAGTAACAAAAATAAATAATAAAATATTTTCTTTTTCCAACAATAATCAACACAACAAATCAAGATAAACAAAACACAGATTTGTAGGAATATAAACATGTAAGAAATTAAAATGTAGGAAAAATAAAATGCGGAAAGTAAAGTAAAATGAGCACATCAGATTTTATAGTGGTTCAGTCAAAGCTTGACCTACGTCCACTCCCATGAGTCCTCTTCTTTTTGTATTGCACTTAAATCATTAGTGTATCTCTTTTAGCCCCCAAAATAAGGTGGAAAAGCCCTTATATAATCTCTTCTACCAACTTGGTGAGGCATAGTAATGAAATCCTTTTTACACTCCTAGTGAGGTCGAGAACCATGAAGCTTTTTCACACTTCTAGTGAAAGGCAGAGTACCTTGAAGATTTTTCACCCTCTTGGTGAAGCCAACAAATCTTGAATCCTTTTTCATACTCCTAGTGAAGGAAAAGAATCTCGAATCCTTTTCACCCTCCTAGTGAAGGTAAAGAACTTTGAACTACTTTCACCTTTTTTGGTGTGGAGAAGTAGCCGAGTACTTTAATACCAAAGGGGACTTCTTCCCAAAATCTCCCTCAAGATAAACCTTAAAGCATGGAGAAGCTCAGGTGCAATTTCGTCGAAGCAACCGTGTAAAACTCTCTCTCACACTCCCTCGAATCCTATAAGGATCTTCTCCCTCTCTCATAAACTTATCTCTTCCTCTCCCAAGCTCTAGGCTCTCTCTGCAAGCTTTATCTCAAATGAATCAACCCAATGACTACCAAAAAGACTCTTATAAAGCCTGATGAGAAAGCTTAAGTAGAGGGCTCCAAATAACCTAATTATTTAATTCAGTCATAACTATTCATTGAAGATGATCGTAGGATCATACCGTATGATCCCTAGAATTTGACCTTTTAGTATTGTACAATCACCAGTTAGTACAATACAATCAGTTCAAATTTGCAGTATTTGTACTACACGATGTATAGTTAATAGAATATGATTTGTTCATGTCTGCCTATTGGCAGTGTACGATTCATGATTAATACAATGTGATCAATTAAGATCGTAATGTATGAATGAATAGTGGTATAGTACGATTAGTTCAACTAAATTGTAGTTTATCCAAGATGAATTCTGAGACTTCCAAATATCGCCTATGTCTATCGCACAATATGATCCAATTCATAAAATATAATAAAAATTCAAAATTAGACATATTGATTGATTAATTATAGAATTAAATTAGGCAATATTTTAAAAATCAGACAATACGATTATATTCATACAATATGAATAGAAAGAAATTAAAATTCAAAATTTTTGCCTAATTTAATTAATAGTGGGATTTCTGATTACAACCAATCATCCAGTATAATGTAATTTTTTACTATAAGATTAATTATACTTAAAATAATTTTATTCACTTAAATAAAAATATATTGATTAATTTTTAAAGCAATAAATCATATAATATGATATAAATCATACATTATGATTTAATATATATATATATATATATATATACTTTTTTATTTTCACTCCTTTGTGTGTGTATACATAGTTGCTAAGCTACTAAACGTTGTTTATGATACATAGACTCAAGAAAAGATAAAAATATAAACTCTTAGAAACATTAATCTTATACTACCCAGTCTTGAGTTATAATCTTTTAGTAGTGCTTAGTGTATTGTTTAACTTGAAATGTTAGTACACATAGAAAATATATGCAATAACAAAATATAAAGAGAAACTAAATACAACAACAACAACAATAACATCAAGCCTTTATCCCACTACGTAGGGTCAGCTACATGAATCCTTCTTTTCATTGTGTCCTATTATAAGTCTACTTCTCGTTTAAATCTAAAAAAGAAAGATCATTCCTAATATTTTTAACTAAGTTTTTTTAGGTCTGCCTCTACCTTTTTTAACATAAGTTAAATATAATACCTCTACTTTCCTAATTGGGTCATCGGAAAGATGTCATTTTATGTGACCAAACCATCTAAGGAAACTCTCTCTAATCTTATCTTCTACAGGAGCTACTCCAACCTTTTCACGTATATGCTCATTACGTATCCTATCTCTAATGGTAAAGCCACTCATCCACCTGAGCATCCTCATTTCTACCACACTTAACTTAGTATTATGTCTCTCTTTTAATGGCCAATATTCGGCACCATAAAACATTGCAGGCCTCACCACCATCTTATAGAATTTTCCCTTAAAAAATTCTTAAAGGATTCATGTCATCATTATTTGACAAGTTTTATGCTGACTATCGACTACCTAACGTGACCCTCCACTTTTCTCATCTAGGACTTGGGACGTGGCAATGGCAGTGTTTAAGAGAAACTAAATATAATTCAATAATTTTTGTTATCATCAAAACAAAAACTCGGGCTCCCGAATTGCAATAATCTCCCCCTTTTTGATAATGACAAATATTATTTGTTGAATTATAAGATGATTTTATTTTCCACCTAAGCTATCCACCTAACTATTTAATCTCTTTTAAGAACTAGGGGGGTTTATTTAATATTTAATTAACATACACACAACAACATGAATTAAAAGTAAGACACAAAAAATTACTTAAATTTAAATAAACTATCCAAAATAAAAAATAAATGGTACAACAAACAACATCCTACTCCCCATTTTGACATTATAAAAAAATGAGATCTATGGACTGACACCAATACAAAATAACACACATAAAAAAAGAAAATAATAATTAAAACACAAAATACAAAAGGACAAAAAAATATAATTAAAGAAACAAAAACTATAATAACATACAACGGAATGAACCTAGCAATAGAAAAAAAATTACACAATTATGCATAAAATATAAATGCAAATAATAAAAAAAAAATCAAACAAACACATAGACAAATCTTTACTTGCTTTTACCCTAATTTCTTTAGGCATGAATATCAATGACACAAAGTCTTGTCCTAAGTGTGCTAATAATGTTAAAAATGAGCTGTTTTCTAAAAATATCTCTCAATTAAAAGTTTAATATTATCATTCAGCAATTATGCAATTCACTTTAGCTTTATGATCTTTATTTATCATAGAAATTTTAAAAATTTTATTTTTCTATGAAATAAAGATGTTCTACTTTTCACATGATCCACTATTGTTCTAATAATTTAACCAAACTACAATCATAAAACATTACTAAGCTAAATTCTATCTTCCTAGACTTATGCATTGATTGGTCCAAATCCATCAATATAAAGTTCCTCTAAGTGAACTTGGTGGTCACTACATTTTTAATTAAAAAAGTGGATTCAATATACTTTCCTACTTATTAAGAATCACAAAAGGGACTTTTTCAAGGGTTATTAACTTATGAATTCTTATAACTAACCATTACTCAGTGATTCTCTTAAGCACCCTCAAGCTAGCAAGGTTATTTTTAGAATAATGATCATCACTCCATCCAAAATAATTTTTAACATAACAACCACCTCTTCATCAAGGAATCATTTTTAAACTAACAATCATTCACAAAAGACATTTTCAAAATAATATTCATTATACAATATATCAAGGTAATTAACATCAATTTTTTGTTATTAATAAACATAATTTTAATATTCATGAATATCATGTAGAAATAAAAAGAACTTTATCACAGATGAATAATGCTTAAAAGATTGTAAGAATTCTTCTACAAAATATTTTAGCATATATATTATATCAAATTTTACCAATGATACTAAAACGTGCAACCTTCCTAGTATAACAAATTCTTGATGCACCTTTTACCTTTATTCCTTGTCTCTAGCATCATTTAAATGTTTCAGATCTTCAGTTAAGTGTTGCATCTATTGTCCAAGTTCTTTTTA